TATTATAAATAATTACTTATTTAATACTTATTTTTATAATATATAATAAGTATTAAAATTAATTACTTATTTAATACCTGTTTTTAAAGTATTTAATTAATATTAAAATTAATTACTTATTTAATACTAATTAAAATAAATACTTGTAAAGTATTTAAAATTAATATTTATTTTATATTAAATTATAATAGTAAATAAATACTTTTAATAATTAATAATAAATACTTATAAAACACTAAATATTTAAAAAGTATTGTTAGCTAATACTTATTTAATAATATTGTTTAATTTATATAGAATAGTGATTGGTTTGACTTCCTGATGTCAATGGATCAGTATTTTTTTTTTTTTTTTATTCTATTGTAAATTAATTGATTCATGTTCACAACTAAGGTTGTGCAAAATCAATTTTTTGTTTCGCGTCAATCCTGTCAAAAAATCCAAGAAATTATGATCCATAGTGACTTTGATTAATTGAAAAAAAATAAAATAAAATAAACAGCAAAATTGGAATAATTGGGACTCTAAAAAAAAAAAAAAAAAAAAGATATTGCGTAGCCTTATAATTTTGATATAAGATTTGATGAAATATTATGAATTAAATATGCATTAAAGTGTATTAATACACATGCACGAAACTACATTGACCTATCCTAGATATTTCTTAGCATCAAAGCTAACAAAATAAATACTATAAATTTTGATGAGAAAAATATACATTTTACAGAAATCATGCAATAGGTGAATGTGCATTGGCCTATAAGCATACTTTTTTTAAGCGTTAAGTCACACATTTCTAACCACATGATATGACTGATCAGATATCTAAATACTAACCTAATTGGGCACAGAATACAGTAATCATTATTCAAAATATAAACTAAGCTAAGCAGTAGTACATGTATGCAGCTTTATCACACAGTCTTTAATGACTAATGAACATACTAATAAACGAATAAACTATAATTATCATTATATTTAAATTACTAAATTGGAGGTTTCAGAATTAATAATTCAACGTCCAATTTCAGAAAACAACTGACGTATTTATTTCAAAAGAAGCGACGTACAAATTCTATTTTTTAAAGTATGTACTTATTTACATAATCGCTTACCGAAGAATGTTTATCAAAAAAAAAGCCAATTTTGGGTGTTCTCAAGTAGCATGCTCAATGTGATTTGCTATTTATTGAAATGATGCACAACAATTATGGCGTTATTTAATTAGACCATTTAGCGAATATAGTGGTGATATCGGATGAGTTTGAGAAGGATACTGTTAAGAAATACGTACTTTTAGAAAAAAGATACTATTGATTGTTGGGAGTAAATACTGTTGGAAAATAGATACTGTCGGGAAAGTAAAATATCAAAAGAACAATTGTCGGGAAAATATACTGTCGGGAAACGATATTGTCGGGAAAGTGATATGTCAGGAAAAATTTTGTCAGGCAACTGAGTTGTCAGGAAAGTGGTTGTCTGGAAAAACGACAGAAACCCTCATAGCGTAACCCATATCACTAGTGCGATTAGTAATCGTTAGTGGCATTTAACGTTAAGGGGAATAGTATGTTTTTTCTGTTAACCCTACTTTGTCGGGTTTTTTTTGTCCCACCCTAGCAAATTATTTGGCAGTCTGCTTAGAAGCTATGATTTGGCAACTTGCCGGAACGGTTGTCATTGCTTATTTGTTTTAGAGAAATTATGGCCTGTCAGGACGACATCACAATTTGGGTTTATGAAGTGGAGTGGCTTGTCTGATCGACAGTCACCAATGAATTTAGTACATAGCAGTAACCTAGCCTTTGGTCTATATGATAATCGACAGGTTTTTTACAGATAAATTCTGGCTTTTTTCACCTACTTGTCAAGTAGTTGTCGTAATAACACTCATCGTGTACAGTAACAACATGCGTCGGTTGTCCATTCGATACACTTAAATTCTGACTATTAGTAGGTGTATCACAAACGCAATGAGAGACAAATGTGTTTTCTAATAGTTTAGTTTAAACTCTATTGCTAATTTAGTTATTATAATTGCACTCATGTGTACGGGATTTTGAAAAAAAAAAATCATATTTTTGCTCAAAATAAGGCGCATGCGCACTTCAAAATAACGTACAGGGGTCCAGAATAAAGCACAGAGACGCGCAAATACGGTATAGCACACTGAGAAGAATCGATATAAGCCATAAAGTATGAATGTAATCATAAAATATAGAAATTTTATAAAATGTTTGATTTTTTTTTTTTTTTTTTTTTTTTTTATAAACAGATCATATTAAAGCGTTAGAAAAATTCAACCAACCACCCTTGTTGCCGTCATTTCATCAGTTTGGAGCTGTGACTTAAATTTGTTTCCTTCTTTGTATTGATAGATTAACCTCCTCAAATACAGAAATATAAGTCTAAGCACTAATAAAAGAATGACAATAATTGATGATAAAATACTAATGGCGACTATTAAAGGTTTACTATTATCACTAGTTGAATGCGGTGCTAGATCATTATTATTATTTGGTACATAATTATTGTTTGACACAGAATTTATATCAAGACCATTGAAAGATCATCGCTTATAATGTTAGTAATTTTTATATCATTAAAAGTTGTTTCCCATTTTTGACTTGACATATTGTAGGATATCCAAGTGTCAAGAAGAGATTGATTTCTGCAATATCCAGCTGTACCACCATAAATCTTTTTGATTCGTTAATAAAAAATAAAAAAAATAAAATTAAAATAAAATAAATAAGCCTAAGTAGCATAATAAGTATTACACTAGAAATATTAAATTTCATCTTACAAATACGGAGTCAGACCATTGATATTGTGCCCCATATCCCCGATTCCGAGTTGTTGTAAGGTTTTGAATGAATGATGCCGAAATAACATTATCAAATTGAAAAGTTTTCAAGCCAAAATTTACTACTTCCATAACATCACCGCCAGTATTCATCATGATAATACTGAGTTTATTGTTCAAAACACCTATTACACCATCATTAAATGGGACTGGCAATTGAAATTGAGGAATCATAAATCCGTATTTTGGTGAATAAATATAAGTATTTTGACTGATGGAAAAATCTTTCTCATGAAAACCACCAAATATGAATGCGTTCCCTTTAACCGTCACGATACCGGCACATTTAGTTGGGACAATATTACTCTTTTAAATCATGAAGTAACTTTAATAAGAAAAAACTTCAAAAAACCTCAAATAGTTTGATAATTAAAATATTACTCATTTACCTTATCAGTTATTATCAGATAAAACCGTCCACTGCCATGGATTAACATTTATATCTAATAAATATGCACCTTGTGCAGTCATATTCGCACCCCACATAAACATGAGACCTGGTTGCAACCATGCTACACGTGGTCCCCAAAAGTCTGTTGTAAGGTCGCTTGGTATAAAATTTTGTGTATATTGAGAGTCATTCCATCTCTGAGTGTTAAAATCGTAAACTTGTAAACCAGGAGAAGTATTGTTAAGATAATCCCGGCCACCAATCACAAAGAAAAGACCACGAGTTTCGTCAACAATACAACCAGGGTCCGTAACACTTTTAACATTTTGAGTCGAGAGTGGCTGCCATGAGATTTTGCCTTGTGAGAATGGTGGTGTTGCATAGTGGAAAAAATTGGTCAATGCGAAGCTATTACATCTATTGTTCCTCCGAAATTGTAAAAAGAATTCTTGTAAGTTACCAGACAGTGTGAAATGAGTGACCCAATATCTTCTGAGGCTGACATAGTTATCAACCTCATAGAAAGGAGAATAAACGTTTTCAACATAAATTTCATGGTATGTAAAATAGGGAATTTCGTTAAGAAAAATTTAGAGCATAAATATTAGATTATTCATATTTTGTCGGAAATTTAACGTTTAGTAAAGTGTTAAAAAGTCAAGTTGAACAATTGAGATAGATTATCCAAAAAAATAATGATAAAATCATACGATTATTTGTATAACAGTATTATTGAATTACTGTATTTTTTGGTGTGTTTGATTCTCAATCGACACGTGTTATTTTAATGCAATTAATTATTAAACAAGATATGCTTCGTGCAAATGCAGCAAGCAATAGGATATATTATATTCTGTGTATTAAAATTTAGGACAGAATTTAACATAGGTACTGTTCATATACAGTGAAATCTCTCTAAGTGCACCATCTATAAGTGCACACCCTTTTTAAAGCACTCTCAGATTCTGGCCCAAATATACTGAGTGGGTGAAAAGTCTCTCTATACAGGTCTTTATTTTTTGATCACCCATTCTTTAATCACTACGATTACGTATCATTTTGATACAATATGTATAAGTTTTAATATATCGTATATATATTAATTAGTATATGCCAGTAATAATGACCTTCATAAATCCGGTATCAATCCTTTATCCCTTCTAGAACCTCAATCTCTATCTTGTTTTTCGCAACTATCCTGTACTTAATAAAATTTTTTTTCTTTAAACATTAATTTATAAATTGTAGATATAAAAAATACAATATTTTATATAAATATAGTAATTTTTAAAGTATGTACAGTTAATATAGCAGCTTTTAAAGGGAGTGAACTTTTATTTTTATTATTAACTTGATGTATATAAATAAATTGCTCAAAGTGTTGACCATCAACTTCAGCACAGTATCTAAGGTGATTAAAAAATGTATGCCTAATATTTGATAATTGCTCTGGGTAATTTTTCACATTCATCAACAATTCATTGTTTTAAGTCTTCAATAATATTAGGAGATGTTTTGAAAACTTCAGTCTTAAGGTGTCTCCACAGAAAAAAATCAAGTGAATCAAGTTCTAGTAAATGAGGAGGCCACTTATAAAGCCCACCTCAACCTATCCACCGATTTGAAAATTTTTTATTAAGATATCTATAAACATCTTTGCTATAATGAGCAAATGCTCTATTCTGTTAAAAAAAAACTTTGATTTCTAGAAAAAATTATTTAATTCTGGAATAATGTTATTTTGTAATAGTTTTAAATATTTTGGTTTGTTTAAATTTTCTTTAATAAAAAATAGCTCAACAATAAAATTATTTATTATTCTTGGCCAAAAATCTTATAACATGCTTATTTTTTTTTTTCTAATATTAAAAGGTAAGATCTTGCTTATATTTTTATTAGGTAATTTATATAAGTAAACATATAGAAGAACTAAATAAAAACTCAATTCATATACAAATAAATAAATATAAAATACATGCAAGAATAAGAGCTTAGACTAATTATTTATCTGTGACCTAAACCTACTAGAGTAGTCAAGTCTTATCTAGATTTGAATAGTTAAGATGTAATTAGTAAGGATGCTAAACTGGACCTATAAGGTAGACTAGATATCAAATTTGCAATTAGCTAGCCTAATAGGTAGGCAAGAGTTTAAATCAGAATATACAGTAGTTGATCTGGTAAATTATAAGAGCAGTTGTATATAAATATATTTTAAGCTCTAGTGTGAAGGCAGAAAGGATATTGTTGAGAGTTAAGTAGAAGTAAGGTTTGTAAATATTTGGTATACTCTTTTCCAAGTAAAAAAGTTAATACAGTATATTTTTAATATTTGTTTATAAAGTTAGTTAGAGATTTTAATAAAAATTTGAATAAACAGTTAAGAGGCAATAAAGTATAATAAATTGAATAGTAGTAAATATTAAATATAAGAGGCAGAAATAAGACCTCTAAGAGTGGAGTAAAGAAAATAGTAATAGAGTAAAGAAGGGTAGAGAAAAAAATAGATAAAAAAAGATTATATATATTAAGTAGTTAAGTTTGTAAGAGGGAAAGTTGAAATAAGAGTTGAAAATAGTATTAGAAATAGAAAAGTAAATAATGTATAACAGAAGATTAAATTGAAACAAATATATTAATGAATGAGGAGTTAGAAAAATTACATTACAAACAGTAAAAAGATAAAAATATATTGAGTAGTAATAAGTAAAAGTAGAAATATATAGAAACTATTAAGTAATATTTTAATTTTAAAAGATTTAAGATAGTTAAGTTTGGGTTAGTAAAATTATAAGCTTTTTTGGTTGTTATTAAAGCAAAGCCATATAGATTTTTAGTTAATAAGAGTAGAGAAATACGACTATTCCAAAATATGCTTTTGAAAAAATCATATAGAGATAGTTCTAGCTTTGCAGATATTTTGATAAAGCATCTAATAAAACTTTAATAAAAAAGCTTTTTTATTGTAAAAAGAAATAAAAGTTATAAATATTAGAGTAATTAAATAACAGAGTAGAGGATAATATATAATTATTGGCAAGATAGTTTGCTAGATTATTAAAAGTATTATTAGCATGAGCTTGAACTTTATATAAGATCAATTTAATATTGTAAGCTTTGAAAAAATTAAGCAATATATGCCAAATAGACCAAAAGTTAAATTTAAAATATTTGGTAGAGAAATATGAAGTTTGCAAAAGTTTGTTATATTTGGAAATTATAGATTAGAAGTTAGTAAAAATATTAACAAAGAGGTTACAAAAAAGAGTAAAGATAGTAAAAAGATTAGCAAGAAGTTTAGCTTTATAAGATTAATATAATTGGTGCTAAGCTTAAGTTGGTTATTGGATTTTTTTCTAAAAATTAATAAAAAGAGTTGAAGAAACTTCAAGTATACAATAGTTAAAAATACAGTTGAAGTTAAGATTACAGCCTTGGCAAGACTTGCAAGAGATTGGAATAAGAGGTATCAATATCATGTGACTAATAAGTAATAGATATTGTATTAGATTAATGAAAAGTTCCAAACTTGTCTAATAAAATTGTCTTTATTATAAAAGTAAGTATCCAAATTTAAAGAATTTGTTTATTAAGTTTGTTTAATAGGTTGAAAAAAAAGTATAATACAGTAGAACCTGTCAAATCTGATCTTGTCAAAACTGATAACTTGTCAAAACTAATAAAAAATTGATCCACCATGCTTGTTCTTTAAACCAAATCTGATAACTTGTTAAACCTGATAACTAATACTTAAAAAATCAAATATTTATAATATATCAAATTTGAAAGGTAATTTAAATTGATTTGATTGGCTCAAATTATATTTTGTATGACAAATTTATATATAATAAATATAATCTAACCAATCATAATTATTTATAATTATATAATTAGTAAATCATTAACCTTTCAAATCTGATAATCTGTCAAATCTGATACAAATTTTGGCCACTATGCATATCTAATTTGACAGATTTTACTGTAGTACAAAAAAAAGTATTAAACAAGATAATATTTTTCAAATAGAAAAACCAGCCTAGATATTTTTCTAAAAATATAAAATAATCTGAAAAATAAATATAACTAGTCAAGTAGTATATTATTATCAGCAGAATATAATTGTTTAAGAAAAAGAATATTTTTGTATTAAAGTTGCTGCTTAAAAATATAATATTTAGAATACTATAAGAGAATATTTTCTAGAAGCAAGTTACTACTACTAGATATAGTTTGTAGCTAAAAAAGATTGTAATTAGAAAAATTGAAATACAAAGTAAATTAAAAAGTTAGATAACTTTAAAGATAGTAGTATATTTATTGGGGCTATTAATTAAAGAATTAGAGTATTAAAAAATGCTAGTAGTAAACTATAAGTTATTTTAAAGCTGTTAAGGTCTAATATAAGTTTTTTTTTTATTTTTTTTATATATTAATGGTGACTACTTAGACCATTGGCATAAGCTTTATTTAGATAGTTATGATATTACATCCATTTCACGAAGATAAAACTAGCTACACATGCACCTTTTGGGTGCCTAATTTAAGTAGTCCACCTGGGTTTTACCCTAGCCACCATGCCTGCAATCTAACTAGGAGATTATCTATTTAAGCTTTCTAGTTATTTCTAATGAAAGTACGACTAGCTATATATGCAACTTTTAGTTGTCTATTTAAGTAGTCTGCTCTAGATTCCACACTAGCTGCTGTACCTATAACCCAACTAGAGAGTTACCCATTTAAATCCTCTGGCTACCACTTTTGTAACACACCCTACCCTAACACTCATGTGAGATTAGCAACTGCTATAAATGACTCTAAGACTTTAGCCAAACCATATTGGGGTATTTATCCTTGTTGTAAATCTAACTGAATAGTACATGTCCCACCCATATATTTATCTGCATGTTCTGATAACTTTCACCTAACTAGTACCTGTTGTGCTGCTGCCATCAAGTTTATATCTCAAGCTATCTTTTCAGATACTGCTGTAACCTAATTCGTATCTCAAGCCACAACCTTTCTAATTAGGGTTCCATTATGTATTCCTTGCCATTGTGAGATTCACAACAACCCTGGTACCCACAATCCAACTTCCTTTTTCCCTGAATTCCTTACCGGTCCCTCCCTTACTTCAAGCTGGCAACTCGGAAGGGTTGGTCTGCCTAGGCTTTAGGTGCTTTACAGTCACCCTTCTCTTGGTACATACTTCCAGAGCACAAGTCCTTTTTCTCCAGTTAGCGGTCTGGCAGTTTAGCTAGTATATTTCCCACTTAAGGATTTGGTTATTCGGTTCTCCAGTCCCAGTTCTCAGTTCCAAATTCAGCTTTTCTGTAGCACCATCAAAGATCACAGCTACTCCACACTCAGAACTTGCCAAACGAGTTTTTGGTAATTCTGGTTTTCTAGATGTATTGCGCTAAAACTCCCATTTAAGATAGTATGACCAAGTTTATAGATATCTGGATCCAACCGATAATCTTAATATTAACTGATACAGATCTAGTTTTTTCAAAATCGTCATCTGTGGGATTCGAACTCTAGACCTGCTGTCTGGGT